TTTTTTTTTCAGCTGTGCTTTTTAAACTTATTTTTGTTTCTAAGATTTTTAAACTCCTTTTTTATGGTGTTTTAGTCTGCGTCTTCAGATTAAGTCATCTCATAATAGTTTTCTATCTTCTGTTTTTCTAACTTGCTGTCCCTAACTTGCCGGGTACTGAGAAACTAGATAGCCAAATGTGGTAGATAGAATTCAGTCTAAAGTGAAAGTGAGCCAGGAGTGGGGGTGCACACCTGTTATTTGGGAGACTGGGGCAGGGAAGATCACTTGAACCCTGAAGTTTGAGGCTGCAATGAGTTATGATCCCACCACTGCCTTCTAACCTAGGCAGCTGAGCAAGAACTCATCTCTAAGCATACTTTTAAAATTAAAAGTAAAATAAAACACAAGTGAATAGGCTCTGAGTGAGAACCTTGGGACCATAATATGAAGGATATGTGTTTTTTTGCAATAGTGATCCTGTATTTCCATGGGGGCTTTTTTTGCTTGCTTCTTCGTTCTTAACTATTTTGAACAGATAAAATCACATCTTAAGTCACTGTTGTATTTTAGAAATATGTATAGGGAAATGTTCTTTTCTCTCTGATGGGAAGTTCTCATTCTGACTCTCGGACTGGTATTTCTTGGTGTTTATCCTTGGATTGGAAGGGGCAGCAGCAAATGTTCTTACAAATGTATTTAGCAATGTTGAAGTCCTTAAAAATGGAATTATCAGTTATGATTGGGGACACCAATGTACTGCAAACAGTGTTGGAAAAAAACAAGATTCTCTTTCCTCTGTTTGACAAGAGGGAACTCTAAAGATCACATATAGATTCAGCTTTCCCTTTCTACATTTGGTTCAGTGGCTTTCCCCCTAGCACTTTTTATTCTCTTCTTTAAAAATTATAACTTTTTTGTAATGTATGCCCCCCAACCAACCAAACCCCACAAAGGTTGCTACATGTATTTTTCTTTATTCCTCTTTTAAATGAGTAAGATTTAGCACAGTGGTGTTTAACTCTT